TCCCAACAACAACCCTCTGAGGTAGGCTGGGCCGAGATTGAGTGACGAGCCCAAAGTAACTCAGCTGGCTTTCCTGGCTAAGGTGGGACTTGAACTCGCCGTCTCCTGCTTTCTAGCCTGGTGCCTTAACCGCTAGATCAGTGGTTCTCAACCTTTTTAATGCCGCGACCCCAACCGGTCGTAAGTCGAGGACTAAACCAGTCGTAAGTCGAGGACTAAACTGGTCGTTAAGCCGAGGACTAAACCGGTCGTAAGTCGAGGACTACCCAGCCGTTCGTAAGTCAAGGACTTTCCCTGCCCGGGAGCGCCGCGCATGCGTGGTTCCGCCCCCTGCGCCGGCTGAGGCGTATCTGGCAAGCGGCAGAGACGGAGCAGGCCAACCACCAGCTGGCCCAGCCCAAGGGAGGTAAGGCACCCACCGGAAAAGGGGAAAAAATGGCGGACAAAAAAAATGGCGGACAAAAAAATGGCGGACAGCCTTGCTTGGCGACCCCCATGAAATGGTCGATCGACCCCAAATGGGGTCCCGACCCACAGGTTGAGAACCACTGCGCTAGATCAAACTGCCTCTCCATTCACCATGAATCAATATAACATTCTGGCTAATTTTGTAAGAGAGAATATAAACTTACCTTTGTGTAGGAAAGCCACAGAATATGTCACTTCTTTGGCATTCGTAGTGGCCAGACTGTAACACAAACACAAGCTTCCTAAGGAAGGAAAGATATCTATTAAGAAACTGAAAATATGGAGTTTCCACTTTATTTTTTTTTTTAGATCTTGAAAGAAGCAAGCATCCTTCTCTTGTACACAAACCTGTGTCGCTGGTAAAAATATGCACGTCCAAAGGTTTGGGTGTAACTTCTTGGTCTTGATAACAACTATAATTCAAGTTCACAGATCTGGGAAGAGAAAACAGGAGATACTACTGCATCTTAATAATGATGATGATGACGATGACGATGTTGGAAGGGACGTTGCAGGTCATCTACTTTACTGAAATACATGCCATACTCTAAATAAACCAATAAACTGAAATTCATAATCCTTGCGAAAGGAATCAACAGGGATGTCTGTAACACAAGTACACTGTTTCATTGTAAAGATGCTGATGATAATAACAAAGTTGGAAGGGACCTTGGAGGTCATCGAGCCCAACCCCCTGCTCAGGCAGGAAACCCTATACCATTTCAGACAAATGGCTGTCCAGTCTCTTCTTAAAAACTTCCAGGGTTGGAGCATTCACCGCTTCTGGAGGCAGGTGGTTCCACTGGTTAATTGTTCTCACTGTCAGGAAGTTTCTCCTTAGTTCTAGGTTGCTTCTCTCCTCGTTTAGTTTCCATCCGTTGCTTCTTGTCCTGCCTTCAGGGGCTTTGGAGAATAGCTTGACTCCCTCTTCTTTGGGGCAGCCCCTGAGATACTGGAACACGGCTATCATGTCATCCCTGGTCCTTCTCTTCATTAAACTAGATGATTGATTTTAACTCAGTTTAACTATTTTGGAAGGATAGGCATACGGTCCCAACAACTCAAATGATTTGAAGAGGTGAGGTCCATTAGCAACATGCAAACTACTCAGTCATGTAGATTAGCTATCCATGATTACAATGATACAGCTATGACGGGTTGAAACGCTTACGCAGAATTCTCCTTACACCTATTTGTGAATATGTACCATCTAGGCTGGCTGAGGAATTCTGGGAGTTGAAATCCACAAGTCATCAAAGGGCCAAGTTTGAAGACCCTTGTTTTAGAGGATTGCGGGGCGATTTTTTTTTTCATTTTTATATGCTTTTCAATTTTTTTAAAAAATATTGTATTTACAGTATTACATTCTGTACATACAGAAGCAAAGAGAAATTTCCCCCCCAGTAAACTCACTTTAATCTTATGTCAGCCACAGAGATCTCTAAAGGTGCTTCGAGCTGTTTAAAAAACAAAAAGAGATATGAGGATTTTGCAAGCAAACACTATTTCTGTTGAACACAGAACATCAACCCCAAAGAGTCCCCAATAAGAATAAAACCAGTTCTATAGTGCCTCCTACTGGTCAATACATAATATAATGTATCTAGGCTTTACATTATGCTCTGCTCCTGGTTTGAGATACTCTTTACTTTTGGAAGTGTTGATTTGTTAAAGGAGGCAGGTCACATGTGTTTAATAACCAGCGTGTACTGAAATACACAAGGAGTAGATGTTAAGTTCACATATACTGCACTAAACCATGATGTAAATTTGCTTGCTTCCAAATAATGTCTGAATGCAATCAAACGTGGCTTATTTAAATTTGGTTTAACCCTGTATATATATGCGATTTTTGTTTACGATTTAAAAACGGATAATATCCTTTTCATTCATCATCGCCCAAAAAACCCCCCTCCACATAGTTTAACATTACTTTCAATATAAAAAACCTTCAGGAGAACTTACTATTAGTTTAAAGTCTTTATTGGGGTAAAATTGGATGCAATTTAATGTGTCCCGTTCTTTCTACAATAAAAAAAAACCATAATATTAACAGAGACTAAAGTTTGATCTGTGGAGGTAAACATTATCCTGGCTCCAGAAAATCTAAATTATTATTTTTTTAAATTGCAAATGAAAGCTTCTCAACAGATTCTTCACGGTGGACCAAAAAAAAAAAGGGGGGGGGGGGCAGAGTAATTGATTTGCATCTTTTCTTTTGCAACATACTTTGAGCTCTCCCTGATCAGATGAGGCAAAATTAAGATTTTCATTAAGAGAAGAGTCAACAAATGCAGACTATAGCTGCAAGTTATTATTATGGCATATCCAATTGAATACAGGTTGTCCGTGACTTACAAGAGTTTGTTTAGTGATCATTCAAAATTAAAAAATTACAATACACCTTTGGTATTATGAATTAACCAGCCGTATATTTCATTCGCGAGAAAAATCCCTTGGTTTTCAGTTACAAGAGCTTTAATTAGTAACTTCGATGGTATCTGGAAAAATAAATCCTATTATTTTAGTGCATGGATCCATTTTCTATCAAGACATCAGATTCTGACACGAAACAGCATAATTTTCATTCAGAGGAGAACCAAAATCAAAAATAAGATAAGGAAGGATGAAAGAAACAATGTCATTTACAAAATCAATTTGCAATCAGTTCTACGTGGGACAAACCTCACGTCAATTAAAAAACAGGATCCACGAACACTGGCTGGCAGTCAAATGCCACAATCACAATCAAATGCCTGGCTGAGGAATTCTGAGAGGGGTCTTCAAACTTGGCCCTTTGATGACTGGTGGACTTCAACTCCCAGAATTCCTCAGCCAGTGTGCCTGGCTGAGGAATTCTGGGAGGGGTCTTCAAACTTGGCCCTTTCATGACTGGTGGACTTCAACTCCCAGAATTCCTCAGCCTGTGTGCCTGGCTGAGGAATTCTGGGAGGGGTCTTCAAACTTGGCCCTTTCATGACTGGTGGACTTCAACTCCCAGAATTCCTCAGCCAGCGTGCCTGGCTGAGGAATTCTGGGAGGGGTCTTCAAACTTGGCCCTTTCATGACTCGTGGACTTCAACTCCCAGAATTCCTCAGCCAGCGTGCCTGGCTGAGGAATTCTGGGAGGGGTCTTCAAACTTGGCCCTTTCATGACTGGTGGACTTCAACTCCCAGAATTCCTCAGCCAGCGTGTCTGGCTGAGGAATTCTGGGAGTTGAAGTCCACAAGTCATAAAAGGACCAGGTTTGAAGACCCCTGCTCTACACCATCATAAACCAGATTTTTTTTAATCCCACCTTCATTATTGTTATAAATAACTCTTGGTGACAAATGTGCCTAATATTTCCTACTCCTCTTTTTCCCACAAAAACAATCCTGTGAGGTGGGTTAGGCTGAGAGGGAGGGACCGGCTCCAAGTCACCCAGTCAGCTTTCATGCCTAAAGTGGGACTAGAACTCACCGTCTCCAGGCTTCTTGCCTGACCAAACGGGTTAACAATTTATGTTATAGTTCTGGAGCCAATTTTGTAACTGGCCTCACAATTTTTAAAAAATATTTCCTTGTAACAAGGGAGAGAAGACAGAGCAAGATTATTATTTCTTTTTCTCCTGAAAAGTCTTCCAGGGATGACCTCAATCTCCTCTATAGGTCAATAGCTCCTTTTATCATTTTAAGATGGGGGTCAAACTGCTGCTAGCAAATAACCCACCACGTAAAGAATAAGCGAACTATATGATCAAGAAAACACAAACGTTTTCAGGTTTTTTTCACCTTTGTGACAATGTAGAAGAGTCTTTGTTCTCGCATGTCCCACTGGGACCAAATCAGATCATCGGCAATTCTCTCCTTCGAAAGCCGACTCGAATTTTCGATCGTCTAAAAGGGAAGGAAATGAGCACCGTTACAGGAGAGAAATAGTACGACGTCATGTCATACACAGAAGACAGAATGAATACGATTGGAAGGGACCTTGGAGGTCTTCTAGTCCAACCCCCTGCTCAAGCAGGAGACCCTATACCAGTTCAGACAAATGGCTGTCCAGTCTTTTCTTTAAAATCTCCAGTGATGGAGCACCCACAACTTCTGGAGGCAGGTTGTTCCACTGATTAACTTTTCTCATTATCAAGACATTTCTCCTTAGTTCTAGGTTAGATCTCTCTTTAATAAGATTCCACCCATTACTTCTTGGCCTGACCTCAGTTGCTTTGGATAATAGGTTAGAATAGAGCTGGAAGGGACCTTGGAGGTCTTCTAGACCAGCCCCCTGCTCAAGCAGGAGAACCTATACCATCTCAGACAAGTGATTGTCCAGTCTCTTTTTAAAAGCTCCAGTGATGGAGCACCCACGATTTCTGGTGGTAAGCTGTTCCACTGGTTAATTGTCTTCACTGTTAGGAAGTTTCTCCTTAATTCCAGGTTGCTTCTCTCTTTGGTCAGTTTCCAACCATTGTTTCTTGTCCTGCCTTCAGGCGCTTTGGAGAATAGCTTGACCCCCCTCTTCTTTGTGGCAGCCCCTCAAATACTGGAAGACTGTTATCACATCACCCTAGTCCTTCTCTTTGATAGACTAGACATATCTAGTTCCCTCAATCATTCATCGTGTGGTTTAGCCTGCAGATCTCTGATAATCTTTGTTGCTCTTCTCTGCACTCTTTCTCAGATCTCAACAGCTTGTATTCTGACGGCAATGAGTTTCATCTTACCTTGTAATAATTCATCAAAAACCACACCAGATCTCTGCCCAGGTAATTATTTTTTACATCTTGAAATACGACATTTAGAACAAAACTTGGGACGTTTTTCACTCTGCCCGATCTCATTTCAGCCCCAACCAAAAAAAAGCATAAAGGGCAAAAAAATTAAAACATACCACCCGGTCTCCTTCTTTGACAGTTCTGACGTCCAATTTTTCAGCATCTTAAGAAACATAAATACAATTTTAGGCGACAGGGGTCAAGGTACAGAGTATCAGGTATATCGAACGTGATTTGAGAAATCTGTACGTTGGGTCTATACATTTGTTCGTTTCTGTTATCAGGGTTCAAAGGAGAGGCTGAAAGGGCAAATAACATGTAGCGACAAAATAATACTAATACTAATACTAATAATAGAATAGAGCTAGAAGGGTCCTTGGAGGTCTTCTAGTCCAGTCCCCTGCTCAAGTAGGAGAACCTATACCATCTTAGACAGGTGTCTGTCCAGTCTCTTCTTAAAAACCTCCAGTGATGGAGCGCCCACGATTTCTGGTGGCAAGCTGTTCCACTGGTCAATTGTCCTCACTGTTAGGAAGTTTCTTCTTAATTCCAGGTTGCTTCTCTCTTTGGTCAGTTTCCAATCATTGTTTCTTGTCCTTCCCTCTGGTGCTTTGGAGAATAATTTGACCCCCTCTTCTTTGTGGCAGCCCCTCAGATACTGGAATACTGCTATCAAGTCACCCCAATTTTATTTTTGGTTAATTCAGCAGAATACAATTATATAATAATAATAATAATAATAATAATAATAATAATAATAATAATAATAATAATAATAATAATAATAATAATAATAATAATAATAATAATAATAATAAAGTTGGAAGGGACCTTGGAGGTCATCGAGTCCAACCCCCTGCTCAGGCAGGAAACCCTATTACCATTTCAGACAAATGGCTGTCCAGTCTCTTCTTAAAAACTTTCAGTGTTGGAGCATTCACCGCTTCTGGAGGCAGGTTGTTCCACTGGTTAATTGTTCTCACTGTGAGGAAGTTTCTCCTTAATTCTAGGTTGCTTCTCTCCTTGATTAGTTTCCATCCGTTGCTTCTCGTCCTGCCTTCAGGCGCTTTGGAGAACAGCTTGACTCCCTCTTCTTTGTGGCAGCCCCTGAGATATTGGAAGACTGCTATCATGTCCCCCCTCGTCCTTCTCTTCGTTAAACTAGACATACCCAATTCCAGCAACCGTTCCTTATATGTTTTAGCCTCCAGTCCCCTAATCATCTTTGTTGCTCTTCTCTGTACTCTTTCTAGAGTCTCAGCATCTTTTTTACATC